CTCAGGTATGAAATTTTAATCTTCATCATCAAAACAGGTCTCGACAACACGACAAATACGAATGAATTCTAATGAATAATTGACACAGCGCCACCGATTCTGCCGCTGCGCAAATCTAAATTAACAGAAATTGTCAAACATTTCAGTACAGCGTCCGCACATGTTAATTAGAAGCGATCAGGTCGTGACCGCTGCTCGGCAATGGATTAATGGATCAGCAACGCATGTGGCAGGAAGGCTGGGAGCCAACATATATTATATATACCAGCAGATAAGTCCATTAATTTTTGCATTTATTTGATCATGTTAATTGAAGGAAGACCCCTTCAAACCGATAGTTTACATTCAACATGGAAAATCCAGTTTCGTTTGAAATCGAGAACAAACAATTTGTGCCTTTATATAAAAAGGCAAAACAAGTAACATATATAAAAACAGCCCCTATATATTGCGGCGCGAGGCTTCAAACACAAATTTTGACGTAAATGGAACAGATACGAGGCGTGTTTTTAAAGTAAGTACTGTTCTTAAATTACGCCGCCGCCGCCCTAAAGCCGCCTTTTAGCGCCTGTTCGCTGTGTCAGCTACATCTGTTGGGAAGCCACAGACGCCGTTACGGAACCATCCGCTCGAGTCTGCATCTGTTGACGTGATTTTAAAATACCGCCACCTATTGAGAATCTCTGCGACTGCGAAGTGACGTGTTTCCCTGCACTCAAGGCTTCAACTCAGTAGATATTCATCGCCAAATCAGTGACGTGTATGGTGAAAACATCAGGAATGATGGAATGGTGCGGGGATAGGTTTGGCCTTTTAAGATGGCCACAAAAACGGTTGTGATGAGGAACGAAGTGGAATACCTTCTGACATTACAGATGATCTAATTCAAAAAGTAGACAGTAAAGTAAAAGAAAACAGACGATACAAGATTTCGTCTTCAGCTGAAAAGTTACCTGCTGTCTCAAGTGTTCTTTACGAAATTGTCTAATCAAGCCCATGCTTCTTTGACGAGGCACACAGAAGCTGGTATCAATATACGCATATGCCTGAGTATTAATGAGAATTGTGTATAATGTTGAGTGAAGTGTCACCTTTGAAGTGAAGAATTTCTTTTGGGACAAAATTTATTCCTTTCTTTATTCCAAATAATACTTTTTTTTCATACCTCTCTATCGATAAGGCTGATCATATAGAAATTCGAAAATTCTAATTATTATTATTTTTTGCGAAGATCTAAATGCTCAACCATTCCTTTGATCACTCTTTTAAATTTGGATTTCATTATACGTCAGAGATTGTGTAAAGTATTGTTTTTAATTTGAAATTTATGATGGAAAGTACAGTGAGCTAGTTGAACTGACCGTTTTTTCTTTTTGTTTTAGCCTGAGAGCTAGTTTTGTAATATTGTTCAAACACATAAATTCACATCGATATTTCTTGTACATTATTGCATATAAATTTTTCAATTGAGAGACGCTTTTTTGTAAAAGCATTTACATTTTATCTAATAAAATATATTTTAAACCTCTTTCTTTTATAAATTCTCTTGTTACTATGATAAACAGGCTAAATAAATCCTACTCATGAATTGGTATTGATGCGTGGATTTTTTTCTCAATTTTTTTATTTGCATCATTTACCAGCGCTGGAACAAGAAATTTGTGATCTAAAGCTGATGTTCTTCGACTCTTCGTTTTTCTCTGCATTTATACACACATCTCAACATATTCCTCAGGGTAAGGTCAAAATCAATTGTAGGACCAAGGGTGCAATTTAAAGCTTGAAAATTAGCCAATGTACAATTCAAACTAATGGCCATCGCTGTATAATAACTTCGTATCTTGACATGTAAACATTTTTTTGGTGCATTTGAAGGATACGGGACGTTGTAACGCTGAGAGCAAAGTTATTGTATGTATTGCAAGACCTCTTAAGTATTTTAGAGGACAGGTTTCATTAGCAGGAAGATGGCAGTGTGATTATCGATATTTATAGAGCGTGTTTTGCACCGTAATCACACAGCTTTTAAAAAGTGACATTACGTTAAAAATTAATCAAATAAATAAACGTATGTATAATGTTTATTTTATTTAACTTTCAGTATAGGACTCAAAATGGTGTGAAAAGCACTATTTACATCTTCTGGAAACAATTTTCGACTAATTCGAGGAACGGCAACAGGCTAGACTTTGTATACTGCAAATACAAAGTTACACTAAATTCTACCAATACTATGCTATAATTTACCACACAATGTACTGTATACATACTATACTATGTATTAGTCTAGGAGGCTGTGAAATTGAAAGAAATCAAATCGATATTTACCAGTTCTCTGACGATAGAACGTGGTTGCCATCACGTGCTTTACAGTTGCACAGACTCTTCTGTCGCTCAAACATCGGCCTAATTCCTTTCAAAAACTTTTTCTACTTTGATAACAAAACCTAGATAGTATCAATCCCTGCAGCTCGTAATGTATTGGCATGGGAACAGAGATATTGTATAGCAATTGGTCGGTTTAGAGAGAATTTCCGTGAAGGCATTTCGTTCCTCTTAATCGTAAGCATAAACTCGTATAACAGTCAAATTAGAGCAATTACAACTCTATAATTGCTCGAGACACTTTAAGTAAATAAATTTATATCATAATCGTTTTTAAGATAACCGTTCTTGTATCACAGATGCGCAGGAGAATTAGTAGTTATAAAGGTTCAGTAAAAGTTGTTTTTCTAAATTTATTCTCAAACATCTTCCAGGCGATGCATGAGCATTTTGCGTGCGTTCTAATTTCAATTCAAAATCACTTCAGGAACTAAAACAGAAAAAATGCTAGGCTCCCAAGTAAAACATATTCGATGGTAATTTGAAATATATTGATTGTTTAAGACAAAAATGAGGCTATTTAGTGTTGGCTCCGCTGCGTAAAGTCCACACGACCTGAGTACAGCATTCTATTCTAAAACTATTCATTTGTCTATGTGAAACAGATAAGAAATAGCGGTGTTAGTTGTTCATGTTTATTTTAAATGTCGAATTCGCTTAAAAATCTACAAATGTTTTTGCGTCGCATTCCATTAACGTAGTAAATAATCTCTCAATTATCACACCTCTAATGAAATTGGAAGCGAAATGCGCGATATCGCAATAGATTAGTTTGTACCTTCACCACATAATACTCCGGAACAAAGGTTCTCAGCGCTGGGGCTTAGGGGAAAATGACTCGCTACGTTCAGCGGCTCGCCAGGCTATAGAGTCTGTTTGCTGGAGCCCCAGGGTCCGGGGCTAGATTGGCTACAAACGCTTCATTTCCCGCGGGGCGAGAAGGTTTTCACTCAACTTTGCTCTTTGAACAATTGCCTTATGATTTGTCCCTTGCATTGAGCTTCGACTTACTCTTTAGAAATGGGTGTATTTAACACTCATAAACAAATTCATTTGGAATGACATATTTATTGTGAACAAGTGCCATGATTATACGTGACCCGTCTCTCTTGCGAAAAATCGCATAAGTAAGTTACCGATACATTTATTGCACAACCCAATACATGTTTTTTCCGCATGTCAATAATTGTCTTTGGCGCAACTCGACCTTTATAATGTGCATTCCTCAATCCTCATCATTTGCTCAAATTAGTTCTTTTCATTTGTACAAATAAAACTTACTAGATCTCTATTGAAAAGTCAATGAGACCAGCTCCATTATATATATCAGTTCAAATGTTATATGCATTCAATATCAGTAGAACCACCAAATGTAAATGGAAGATATAAAATCCTAAATGCCAAACACGACTAAACGGAAGTAAAATCATATCGACTCATGATTCCAAGTTGATAAAATAGATAAGCCTTGTTAAGACAATAGTTATCTTTAAAAATGTTCAGCAATCCCCCGATTTTCAATTCGAAAATCGGGGGATTCGGGGGGGAAAATCGAAAATATCGCAGAATATAGCGGTAACTGAATAATCAATTGTCGCTGTCTTGATTATACTTGTATTCGTGAAGTTTTGTCTCGTCTACTGAAAGTTTTTGATGAAATTTTGCAGAATTTTTCCCCAGTAGGTCTTGGAAAACAAATAAATTAAAAACTAATTGTTATTAAATAGTTTAATCAACTATAAATTTAAAACTACTTATTAAAACTAATGAGTTGAAGTAAGAAATTACTACAAGTCTGCACCTCTGCTTCAGTCCTCAATGAGCATTCTTACGTAACTTTGTAACAGCAATTTTTTTATACATATGATTTGTTAAGTTATCATTATTAACTTATTTTGATTAGTTATTCCGCATCTGGTCTCTGAAGTGGTTCAGGGATAAAAATTATCTCCGGTAAGTTTATTTATTTTTCATTTATATATTGAGCTCCGACAGAATTTCCGAGACAGAATTTTATTATCTGATTCAGTGTATAAATTAAAAGCCTCAGACTTGTATGTGAACAATTGACAAACTTATTATAGTAAATAATAGTTGTTCAAATGCTGGAAGAGAAGACGACTTGTGAACTAATTATTAGCGAACTAAGAACTAATTCTTGATTCGAAGATTTTTTATTGTACGATTTGTCTCCTCCACTTCTGAAGTTGATTTCGGTTATTCCAACAAAAATCATGAACATGGCTGGAATTTTTAGTACATGCAAATGCTTATTAGGCAGATACAGTGGAATTGCTTTTTGCACTGAACTTGAATCGTTGGGTTTGTCTTGTAATGGACCATATCTTTCATTACTTAATCGGAATCTACGTAGCATTTCACGTCGCATTGCCTGTTTGACGATCTCAGGAATTAGTCAGAGAACTGTAAACAATTTTTCCCACCATTTGCCATTACCGTAACTCAGAGCAAGAGTAACTGGCGCTCTTAATGGCCTTATGCGTGAGGTTTGCCTCGCTTGTTTCCGCAGTCAAAGCGCGGGGCGGCTTTACGACTATGCCTCGTCCGCTGGCTTTTCTCACCGCAATTAAAACTTACATCGCAGCTGCAGACGAACTCGCTCATTTACAGCCTTTTTGACTGTCGCTGCCAGCAAAATAGCCAGAAAATTATAAACGCTGATCTGGGAATCTAGCTAATATTCATTAACAAATTTTACTCCAAGATAATGGATTTCAAAAATGCATTTATTAAAATCGGTTTAAAATTGAGAAATTGAGAGGTTAAGGATTCAAATTAATTCGAATTTGAATTTTTTCGATATGAGGCGAAATTGAGAGGTTAATATCATTTCAGCAGGTCTAGGGCAGATGAAAATATCATTATATTCATACGGTTTCGAACCTCTTGAAATTATCACCGAAATTGTTAAGAAGAACTTTTCAGAAGTAGAAAACATTTGGCTGTCAAATTTCCGCTGCATTTATTTTATTCCAAGTCCTTGCCTCTACAGTTCAGTGACAGAGCGTGCTGACATTTTTCTGATTACTATATATCAGACTGGTATCAATACCTTTGCGCTTACATTGCTGACTAGTAAGCCCCAACGTTCAATACCGCCCCTCCTGCACCACGAAGAATTCAAGACGAACACTTTAAGAACACTTTAATAATTAGACATTCTTTGTCATGCAAAATCAGTTTATAGACAACAAGTATTAGCTCAACTTTACATAACCATGGCGAATCGATCAAGCGCAACGGCAGGTAACTACCTCTTGTAGCATCTACTGCACCTATACCATCTACTGCACCTATACCATCTACTACACATACCATCAACTGCACATACCATCTACTGCACATACCATCTTTTATCAGTTCATTATCAGTTGGTTATTTATAATAACCAGCTTTGAATAAATTTTGGTGCAGCTAATAAATACGGTTTTGAAATTCGTCTAAAATTAACAAGCCCAAAATGCTACACGACTAAAAACTCTTATTATATTTGCTTGTTTGCGTAATATATAAATACTTATAAATAAAAGCAGGTTTATCTGATCTTATGAGTTGCATCATTTTTTTGCATTCATTTTCCATTATTAGGCCTTAAATTCGTATGGTTCTAGTTACTATTCACTGACTAGCTTCTCGCAATAAAAATGAAAATCATCGTTTGCGGCAAGCAGGCCCCATGTCATAGGCTGATGCAACAGAGACAGGTTCAAAACTGTTATTATTAATCACTTTACGCGAATGTTGAGTGAGCAACTAGCGCTGTCGTAAGCTTGCACTCTCTGTGAACTGGGATGACCTGAAGCCAGAATCGGTGCAGGAAATTAGACAGAAAAAGTTGTATTGTAGCATCTAATTAGCAAGATGGCTCGGCCTAGGATGCTTTGCTAACAATGCACTCAGGTTGTTTTGTTGAAATTATTAGTATATTATTATATAATAAAATGTATTTTCTAATTACGTCATTACGCTTATCGTTAGTCTCGTGTTATATAGGAGGAAAAGTCGACACTCATTATTATTATTATTATTTTAACCATACCTCTGAGAAGGCATCTTGCTCAAGCTGAATTACTACTCGTGTTAAATCTTGCTGTTCTTTCGCTTAATTTAAGTTTAAGCGAGCTAGTGTGCTTTCATTGTATTTTGTTCCATTTAAATGTATGTTTGAGCTTGTGTGTTCGCTAGTTTAAGATCTTACTCAACTGACTTTAGGTCAGATGTTGAACACCGCGTTGGGTTGTTGGCTCCAATGAACTTCTGAGTTAAAACCTGCTTTGGTCACTTGCCTTAGTGCTGTGAATTAACTTGCATGCTTGCATGCACTTAACTCTATTTAGTATCAGAAGGCAGAATAAGCTTGTTTCAACACGGGTGGTTAATGGCCAGAGAATTCGTCAATTTAAATTTTCAGGGTCGAACAATATTCTTCAAATTCAATATTCAAACTCTATTTAAGTACTAGCGAACACACTTTATACTGTTTTCACTATTTTCTTTCTCATAGTTCTTTTCATGGGACCTCTTGTCTATGATTCCTTAGTGGAAACAAATGGGTTAGTTAATTTGTTATTCATAATTAATTTTTGTTATTCCAATTGTTATTCGTAATTTATTTGACCTTCGTACTGAAACAAACTGTGTTTCATCTTGAATTGATTTTGGAGATAAGTTCTACTTCTTGTCTACTTTATCCAGATAAGAATCCACCCAATCTCCGTAACGTGCAACGTGACCTGCAAACCTGTCAACTTGCTTCTTCATTTGTTACATGCCACTACATTATTTTATTCTTTAACTTGCCATTCAATAGTGAGGATATGGAGAGAGAGACGTACATATAACTTGCGTTACAGTGACTTATTCCTTTGAATTAAATGTTATTATATTCACTCCTTGATTTTTGTACTTTTACTGATTCACTGATCAGATAACCACTACTACGGTTATCTGTTCTTTAACTGGCCGCTTTTCACCCACATTGTTGGGCGTTCAACAAAGTTTATCAGCTTTCATTAACTTCTTTTACTTACACCTACGCTTAAATTCAATAGTTTATCATGCAACCGAGAGCCGCTCAACCTTGCCGCTTCTGAAGCAATCATGACTGCATTTTGCAGTTGCTAGCATTTGGTATAGTTTGAAAATGATAAGCAGAAATTTTTTAACAATTTGAAAGCGAAGATAATTCCGCATAAATTCATAATATCTCTATTGAAAACGTTTCGGAGTCCAGCTCCATCGTCAGTTCGAAAAATTCGAAATAAATTTCCAATGTCTCTCTAAGATTTTATCAACTGCCCATCCCGAAATAATATTATACATAATTACGCTGGTTCTCAGCACCAAGTGATAAAATATACTAAGAATGAAAGAATTGAATGGTATGCACAAAAATAGAGGAATACAATACATGAGCAAGCGACTCCAACCGTAGCCATAACTGAACATTAATTACTAATTGGTAATAATCGATGAACGTAGAATCACGCTCAATTGGAACTATCACACTAGAGTGGTTTCCTGATTTAGTCACGAAAGTAAAAAAATAAAAAATATATATATGAAAACAAAATGTGAGGAATTTAAATCGATGCGATAAACTAGAGAAAAAGAGTTCCTGCATCTATGGAAGTCACTCTTTCCATCCCGTCGCAATTAATCTCCTTTCAAAGTTTACTGTAAGCCGAAAAGCTCATGATTAACTAGAAACCAAAATACAAGTTATAATGAAGACCGACAGCGGATCTTCTATTTAACCTTCTAATATTTGAGAACTATTCATAAAAGGCTGGTGAGATTTTTCGAAATAGCGCGCTATCGCTCTATAAAAAGTGTGCTAAAATAACAAACAAGAATATAATCTTACTAATTACTTAGCACACTGGGCAAATGTGGACAGGGAGTCACATCCTTAAATGGGCTGTACCAATGTAATATCCCAAATAATATATCTTAGTAATTGAAGATTCCGATCCATGAGAAATTTCACCAAATCAAAAAAGGTTTGGTGGTAGTTTCCCCAAAATAACATTGAACCTATATAGAATAGCGTCGGGTCTCTCGGTTTTCCACTTCTTACATACAGTGGGAAGGTGCTAGCGTGTACCTCTACCTCTGTGATGACTATTACCTATCACCCCGTGGTCCGATAAGACTAAGATAAATACGTCGTTATTTATCCCACCATTTAGTCTCGAATGCCAGTCCTTACGTTGGTCCTATATATGTGAAGTATATTATCATAGAGGGGCACGATATCCGTGCCTCCGGACATATATTGCATAAACTCTGCTTCGAAGCATGTTTTTTAAGTCAGTACCGTATTGAAATTAAAAAATACGCGCAAATATATCGCAATAATTTTATTTTTACATGAAAGCCTGTAACTTAATCTACTTTTCTACATAATTTCCGTGAATACTGAGGCACTTGTCATATCGTGGCACCAGTTCTTGAATACCCTCCTGATAAAATTCTGCCGCCTGACTTGTTAACCTCTGCATCACAAATGTTTTGACTTCGTTATCGTCTTGAAGACGCCGACCGCCCAGGTGTTTCTTCGATAAACTTCCCTGCCAACATCGAGTTTGATCAGACGTGTCAGTGAACGGATGTCGAGCGCGTCCATTGAATGTGAAACATTAAAAACACGGAGATGAATCAGAGAAATCCACATATATAAATTTCTTCCATCCTATATTTCATTTATTTTTATAAATTAATTCAACCTCCGTTAGCAATTGATTACTATAACATCTTGGCGCGGCGTCGCTCATTATAGATAATGTCGAAGCTTTGAGAATCAGGGGCCATAGATTCCCAATGATGATCTTTTCAAGTCCTTATTTCGGAGCTTTCTGCACACGCAAAAAGTAAAAACAAATTTAGCTCTACCGAAATAAATAAACTAATAAACGCACATAAATAGCCTGAATGACATAAGATAAATATGAAATGATATAACTAAGAAGAAGGTGCACACTCAATAAAAATATCACATAATCAGCACAGGCACAAATAGCACGAAAAATAAGCACGACTGAAGGAACCTCGTACCTCTGTGCTGGAATTACAAATCAAAATGACCACGTATTACAGATTCCTACCGAGTTCATGTCAGAGGTGACTAAAAACCTAAATGACAAATACCAATTTAATATTTACAAGAACATTGCAGCCCCTTAAACTGTGGAAAATTCGAACCTAAATTCTGTTAATCAAAAAAACTTATAACCCGCATTTAACTGAACTTTGATTAACCATCCTTCTGTGATTATGAATGAAATTCGTCAATATTTTTCAGCAGCGTCGATGCCACAAGGTCGTAGGAATGCCACTTAAGGTATTCTCTGACATGTCAGGGGATCTCATGATGCGGTATCGTTAGCCTGAAAACATTCGTTGAATGCTCTCATAACTGACTTATATAAGGTGTAGCCGCGCAGCCCTCCCACATTCCGCGTAGCTTTTGTTCGTTTGGCCCAGTTCCTTTTGTTGCGCTGATACCACGTGTCATTGATAGTCTTGACGCCGTCCACTGTGGAATGGCGTGGAGACACTATCATAAATTAGCTACTTCGACCAAATCATTTGTAATGTGAGCCATTTGATTAATTATGAATTTCTGCAGACCGATGCATAGTAAGTTCAACCGGTTGGCCGGGGATCGGTGAATCCTATGTTTCATCTCTTGTTATTTGTGCAAATAAGAATTAAACTTTACTGTGTTTTATACTGGCCACTCGTACCAATTACACTTTATTGTTAGTATTATGTAAAGATCATCGTTACTCACGTTCTCTTGCTTGAAGAACACGCATTCATCATCGGTCTCTTCCTCCCCTCATAATGCTACGCTCTTTGCCAACTTACTCGCGAATTACTTTAATATACATACTTTCATTTTCGCTTTGGTTGTTCTAGACATTCCGTCCAGCGTAAAAGACTCTTCACTTTCTTAAATAGTAAGCTTCCAAGTGTCAGTATCTTGCCAATTGATAGGCGTCTCGAAGTTATAATATGGCCACCCTCAACTGTAGATGAAATGCCTGTTTCATTTGTGTCGTTGGTCGGTCAATCGTCTTTAGGATACGCACTGTAATTTTACTTATATAATTATAGCGTCAGGCTCCCGACAAACTTTCGCATGTCTATTGTAGATTAAAGTCTAATCATTACTTCAGTACGAAATAACACTGCCAAACAATGAAAACATATTTAATTTTTACATGTTATTCCACATTAATCTGTCAAATTCAGCAATCTATGCTTTGTGTGTTTTTAAAATAAGTAGACATTTGAGGTTTGAGACTCACCTTCAATAAAGTTTTGTGTGTATTCTGAACATTAAGAACTAGCAAATCTAACGAGGGGCGAAGTCCGAAGTCCCTGCCTTCGATGTCCAAGTCATCATCAAGGCGCCAAGTTTGTCGCCGGCCTTGTCCGCTCTCTCGGTCTGCTGCCTCTGTACTCAAACCTCAGTTTCTGATAGCAGTAAGCGCAATGGTCTTGGTTTTGCCTGTACTATCGTCCTTTAATTAAAATGTTATTTGCTTACATATTCCATATTCAGATTGTTTTCTTTGGCTTTGATATTAAATTAATTCAAGCATGAAATAAATTACTAACTGCTTTCAAAATAGCAAAGACCAACAAATCAAACTAACCAAATTAACGATAAAGAAAAGATCTAACATGATTGTAGCAGAAACATTCTTGCAATTATGTAATTAAGCTCAGTTTAATATAATTAAGATCATCTACTACGAGTTGATGCACTACTTGTTTTAAAGTGTCATAAATGGTGTTACATGCTTTAAAGAGGAATCGATAGCTTTAGTTTCTGTCACTTGTGTTTAGGTACAGTAAATAGCGGCTACTCCTCGGCTGCTTGCATAAAGGTGTTCCATATACCTTCTCCTTCTCTGGATGAAGAAGCCCTTCATCCAGACACTACTTTACTGCACTATACACAGCACTATATACACTGCCTGCACTGTACTTTACTGCACTATACGCTGCCTGCACTGTACTTTACTGCACTATGCACTGCC